CATATGAGTAATACGTATATCAAATTTTATATCGATATCTTAATTTAGTAATGTGTTATGCGCGTTTAAGTGATTTTCGAGAGGGGACCTTGTATGGGAGCTATGACCAATTTGGACCGGTCGGAAAAAACTTGCACAGTAATATTTCTATTCAAATGGGCAATACTTGTACCAAATTTTATATGAATATCTTAATTTAGTAATGAGTTATGCGCGTTTAAGTGATTTTCGGGAGGGGACCTTGTATGGGAGCTATGACCAATTATGGACCGATCGGGAAAAAAATTTCACAGTAACATTTCTGTGCATATGAGTAATACTTATACCAAATTTTATAAGGATATCTTAATTTAGTAATGAGCAATGCGCGTTTAAGTGATTTTCGGGAAGGGACCTTGTATGGGAGCTATGTCCAATTATGGACTGATCCAGAAAATTTTTTCTCTGAATGAATTCTATTGACATGAGATTTTAATTTGTAAAATTTTGTGAAGATATCAACATTCTGACGGAAGTTATTAACAAAAAACCCATTTTTCGGGAATATGTACTTTTGTATGGGAGGTATATGAAATTGTGGACCGATTCTGGCAATTTTCAGCAGGGACCAAGCTCTTGTGTAAAAACGAATGTATGGTGTAAAAAATGCTTATTTTTTTCGAGGTTGTTTTAAATTTTGATTCATAACTTTTCTCGGTGTGAACCGATTTTGCCCATTTTCAATACCAAACAACTTAGGAAAATGAAGAACATTTTGCGTGAATTTGGTTAAACTCTATTGCTTCGTTTTATCGTGAGCGTGTTTTACACAGACAGACGAACAGACGGACAGACGGACATAGCTAAATCGACTCAGAATTTGATAAGGACCCAGAATATATATACTTTGTTGGGTCTCAGATGAATATTTCTTGGTGTTACACACGGAATGACAAAGTTATATATACCCTCTATCACCACTGATGGTGGTGGAGGGTATAAAAAGTAAGACACGAACCAAATGATATACGTCTGAAACTATAAATTTAATGGAGAAAAACTGCGAATTTAGTTTTTCATTTCGTGGTCCTGTGTTCTTTTTAAAGAACTTCAAAGTTTTAAAAAGTAAATATTTCAAAAAATATTTTAAAATAATTGTACTGATCAAGCAATGCCAAATTAGATGTCGAGCGAACAAGAAGAGTTGTTAAATATTTTGTGTTAATTTTATTTAATTTTGTAAGGTTCAAAAGATGTAAAAGTTGTCTTTCAAAAATTTTATTAATTTCGCCTCAATTTCCATACATTTAAGCTAAACATAGACAGATAGCAATAACATTTTATGGACAAATTGAATAAATCAATTTTCAGCCGTCATATGTCGATATTAATATGAACATTTGGGAAATATTTGGAAGAGGGCCTTTAATAAGAACTTAAGTATGGACCGTGCTCTTCCGAATTAAAAATATAATTTTTTTGATCCAATATTTATAACCGTAAACTGTTTTTTTGTAAGAGTGGGGAGTAGGGTCAATTATGGACCCATCCTCAAAAAATTTTAGAAAATAGTTTTAGTTCCAATAAAACTTTTTAATGACGAATTTTATTGATAAATATGCTTCTTAAGGTCAGATATCAGCATTAAAGTACTTTTCTAAGGGGGACCTTATATGGAGGGTAGGGTCAATTATGAACCGATCCTTATAAAATTTTACGAATAGATTAAAGTTTCTATAAAATATGTTCCTGTCGAATTTCAACGCTATAGATGTTTCTTTTAGACAGTTATGGGCGTTAAAGTAATTTTCTGCTTCTTAAGATCAGATATCAGCATTAAAGTCATTTTCTAAGGGAGACCTTATAAGGGTCAATTAAATTATTATTAAAACGTGTTTGTGCCGAATTTCACAGCTATTGATGCTTCTTTTATCCAGTTATGGGCGATAAAGTAATTTCCTGAAGGGGGCCTTATATGGGGGCTAGGCATATAATGCACCGATATTGCCCATTTTCAACACCAAACAAACTGCATCAACTAAAAGTATCTATGCAAAATTTCGCTAGCTACTTCCATTTGGACTCTATCGTGCTTTCAACAGACAGACGGACGGACATGGCTAGATCGTCTTATAATCAAATGAGGACCCATAATATATATACTTTTATGGGTATTAGACGAATATTTCAATGTGTTACAAACGGAATGACAAAAACAATATACCCCCCATCTCTAACTACAATTTAAACCGAAAGCCTATAATTATATTTTTATTAAATTTTCTATTTTATAACGCATTTAAAACCAAAATTAAATTTACATATTCTGCACTGATATTCACATAACTAACAAACTACAAAATTTAATTAATTATTTTTATGCTATTTAAAAAATTTTGCTAAACCACTAATAACTTCCATTATTTTACTGTATAAATGTTCACATACATCCATAATTACATTTAAATATTTTGCAAACTATTGTCTGTCATATAAATGTCATAATATCTTCAGTATTTTGTTTGAAAAAAAAAAAAAAAAAAAAAACAGAAAATATTTATATTAGTTAGTAGTGTGATAACAGTCTATCCCTGAAAATAATTAATGATATACAATTTAATTTAAAATATTTGTAATTAAATTTTATATGTTTATATTTTACTTGCGCAAATAAATATCAAATATATTGTCAATAAATCTACATACATAAGTAATTTTAAAAAATAAAATTACATGTTAGTTTTATAGATTTGTCATAATTAGTAAATTGAATATACATACTACATACATACATATGTATATATTTTTTTTGCATATTTAATATTACATTAAAATGTTGCATTTATAGAATATATTTGCAGTTAAAACGGATGAAAATCATATGAATGTTTAATTTATTACAATATAAAAATACTGCTCGTAATTTGTATTGATGACATAAAATCAAAATAAGTTGTATATTACTTATGTAAGGTTTTTATATAGTATGTTATCTAGGGTTTATAGCTCTTTGTAATTTTTACAAATATCAAAAATAGAATAACAAGACCTTGTAAAGCTCGAACAGAATTGAATTTGTTCACTAGTTTTTGGTATGACATAAGTATTTAAACTTGGGAGATAAAAAGTTTATCAAATCCACTTTGTAAACACCAAATGACTTTAAACAATGTTAAACGTTTTCTTATTTTCTATTAAAATTCATAAAACAGGAAAAATCTGTTACGAAAACTAACCTTTTCTAATAAAATCTCCTGAACCGATTGGTCCTTAATAAAATCAAAACACAGTGGTCGAAATACACAATTAAATTCTCCGGTAATGAAACAAGTAAATTCATAAATTTTTTATACCCACCATCAAAAAAGATGGGTGTATATTGTTTTTGTCATTCTGTTTGTAACACATCAAAATATTCGTCTAAGATCCATAAAAGTAAACATATTCTGGGTCCTTATTAGATACTAAGACGATCTAGCCATGTCCGTCCGTCTGTCCATCTGTATGTCTGTCTATCTGTCTGTCTGTTGAAAACACAATAGAGTCCAAACGGGAACAGCTAGAGAGCTCTTGTACAGACATTTTTAGTTAATGCAGGTTATTTGGTATTGAATATGGCCAATATTGGTCCACGATTTCGCATAGCCCCCCTATAAGGTCCCCTTCAGAAAATGACTTTAACGATCATAACTGGCTAAAGGAAGCATATATAGCGGCATAAACATATTTTATAGGAACCTAAGTCTCTTTATAAAATTTTATAAGCAACGGCCCATAATTGACCCTACCCGCCATATAAGGTCCCCTTCAGAAAATTACTTTAAGATTCATAACTGGCTAAAGGAAGCAATATAGCGGTGAAATTCGTCAAAAACATGTTTTATAAGAACCTAAACCTCTTTGTGAAATTTTATAAGGATCGGTCTATAATTGACCCAACCTGCAATATAAGGTCCCCTTCAGAAAACGATTTTAAAGCTCATAACTGAATAAAAAGCATATATATTCGAAATGAACATATTTTGTAGGAACCTAAATATCTTTATCAAATTTTATAAGGATCGGTACATAATTGACCCTAGCCCCCATATAATGTACCCTTCAGAAAATGACTTTAACACTCAGTACTGCCTTAAAGGTACGGATACAGCGTTAGCACTTGACGCAAATATGTTTCATTAACTGTCTTAAAAATGCGAGTACATCGGCATGGCCGAATATAACACTCTTACTTATTATGTCTCATTTTCTCGAGTCATTTTGGTAGAAAAACTTTCCGCATAAGTCCATATGACTTATGAAGTCTAAATGATACATTCGGGGTCCACGTCTTACGCTATTCTATCATACATCAGAGATATGATAAGAATTCTGAAAAAGTCATGACTTTTCCTATATTGTTCGATATTTGGGAAATTTCATGTCAAGTGACCAAACTTTTGAAAGTAATGTCTTCGGATCGGCATGAAATTTGTATCATATTTGTATTAAATAGTAGTTGAGATACAATTTTTTAACAAGATCGATAAAGAACTCTCTGATTTACAGTAGGTCAAAGTTTGATCTTACTATATAGTTGTTCTCAGAAAAATTTGTTCAAAATTGTTTAGATATATATTTCCTCAATATTTCGGAAAAAATTAAAAAAATCATAGTTATTATTGAATATGCTAAACCATTTAAGCAGTTATTTTTTCCAACCACATTGAACCGTTTTGGCTATATCTTCAATAATTGAAAGTAATAGTTAATAAGTAAGTAACTATTTATTGGTGAGATTTGTTAAAAATCTATTTATTTTTCTTATTTTAAACATAGTATGTTGTTATAAATTTTTTTTGAATCAAAATAGTGGGCTTATACCCAACTTTGCGAATATTAAACAAAAAATTTTCAAAATATTGATTTAATTCCAACCATTTTATATCTGTTGCCTTTTATACTACTCATAATTATGTAAATTTTATTACTTTAATAATAACAATAAGTAGTCGTAAAAAAATGTATAAAGTAAAACCTACCTCTGGTTGAGTTTCGCCATGAACTATGCACACAAGCATGGCCTCATGACCCTCTCCGGAAAATACCACAGGACGTTCTACTGTGATTTCAGGAGGATCTGCCATAAAAAATATTGAAAGACAAGAGCATAAAAATTAAATGTTAAAACAACAGGACAACAAAGAAATACGTTTGTATATAAAAACTAAACAAACTAATAAAAATTTATATTTTACTAAACAAAACAATATTTTTATAGAGGGGTAGTCAGTCGATTGTTCATATTATTTTTATATGTATACTTTTATAAAATTGCAGAAAAATATAATAAAATATAGTGTTTATAAACCGGTTAACCGGTTAACCGAAAAACCGGTTTTTATTGCATATTTCGGTTTTTCGCAAACCGGTTTTTTAAAACATTGGTTTTCGGTTAACCGGGTTATCCGGTTTTTAAGTCTCGGTTAACCGGTTTCAAAAAAATCTAATTTTTAGTACAAAATTTTATGTTTTCTTTGATATTTTATTGTGATTTTTAAAAATTTTGGATAGATAATTTTAAACATTATTTTCCGTTTGTGCATATGAAAACAGACCTAAGATTGTTAAACAAATATTATCTATATACTTACTTGTTTACTGCGTGAGTATAGTAAAAATCGAGAAGTTTCTCAAACGTTCTCAAAACGGACTTTATTTATCGAAACATAAGGATTGTTGTTGCCGTCCGAGAACTTATGCTGCTGGGGTTTTTCACAAACTGTAATGGCGCTTAGGTTGATTGACAGGAAGTCAGAATGACACCTGTCAATATTCCTAAGCGTCATTCACAGTAATTTGAACAACCACAGGCGTAGTGAGTGGAGGGAGGTCACTGTCTATGTCGAGACAATCGTCGCGAACCTGAACACTGTTTATAGTTCTGGGCATAATTTTTGCTATTGATATATATGGTCAATTTATCCCTCGTATGGCAACTTCCATATACCTAACGAATCAATAATATCTTCAGATCTATATAAGTTTGTTTTCTTATGATATATTAATGTACATATCTATACTAAAAAATGCAAATATCTTATTAAGTAATTTATAATATTTCGCAAAATTACATTTTTCAACTATATATTATAATATTTTAAAGATTTCCAAACATTTCGGTTAACCGGTTTAACCGGTTTTTTATACTCGGTTAACCGACAAACCGGTTTTTTAGAAATGGTTAATTTTCGGTTAACCGAAAAACCGGTTTTTCCAAAAGTCGGTTTTTTATAAACACTATTAAAATACGAAAAAAAAAAAACTTTAACTACTATTAACATATACTTACATAAAACATGTAAAACCACTTGACTAGAGGCGGGTTGGCCAACACCATTATTGGCGGTACATATATAAACGCCGCCCTTATGACGATCCACATTTTCAATTGACAGTATATGAGAATGAAGTTTCTCCTCGCCTTTTTTTTTTTGCACAAAGAAATAGAAATAAAACCAAAAACAAAAAAAAATTAACATAAAGAAAATATTTAGTTTAAAAAATTGTATATAAAAATGACCCTTAAGTTTTACATTGTCCTTCAATTCAATTTAAAACAAAAAAGGTACAGAGAAAAAATCTACTTGTTCCTTTTTAGTTTTAAATGTATATATATGCGAGCAATAAAGAAATACTACTACTTATGCAGAAAATATCTTACCATTGGGCAAAATATTATTTTTACGACTCCATGTAACATTTGGCGTTGGATTACCAGAGGCCGAACACTCTATACGTACTGATGAACCTTTTTTAACTTGCAAATGACCGCTGGTACTAATATGATGAATCCTTGGTGGCACTGTTGTAAAAAAAAAAAAAAAAAACAAAAAATTGGGAAAGAAAAATAAAAGAAGGAAGGAATAAATTAGATTTGTTGAAAATTAGGGAAACATTTAAGATAAACAAAATTGTGTTAATACAAGTTAGTTAGGGGAATATTGCAGGAATCTATAATTCGCAATAAAAGAAGAAAATTTAAACATTTTATATGAGTAGATATGTAGATATTTAAGATGTTTAGCCTTCAGAAATGTGCATGTGAATTTTAGCAGCTGAATTTTTAACTTAATTTTCAGGAAGATCATACCCATGCATATATTTACATACATATGTACATTAGGGTGGCCCCTGAACAAATGTTGTAAAAATTTCCATGTTTTATTTGAGTTTATGTAACCCGCTATAAGTATAAGTTCAAAAACTGAAATTTTGAAAAAAGGAAGAAATTGATATTTTAAGTTTATAATGAATTATTTTAAATAAATCTTTTCTCTTCCAAAAAAATTGGTTATTTTTAAATGTTCAGGAATAGTTCTTACAAAAATTGTATTTCTATTTTTGCATATGGTTTCTTAAAAAAATCACCTTCAAAAAGTACCTTCTTTACTCATTGATTTAAAATATTAACTCAAAGACTAACCTACACTAATTATATTTAATTAAACTTTAATTTTAAAAGAAAACATCACTAATTTTATATTGGGGCCATCCTAACATATATTTTTAGGAAATAATAAAAATTTTCACACACAATGGACAATATTACACACGAATATATGGGCAATTTCATGTCAAGTGACCCAACTCAAAAAATCTATTTTTTTGGAAACCGTGAAAAAATAGCTATCCAAACTCTTTTGTGAAATTTTTACTAGGGCTAATAGGTGAAAAGTTACCCTCAATTAAAAAATACGCTTTATGACCAAAATGTCCAACGTTGGCCCCCTCTAACGACGAGAGTTCTTAACCGATAGAGCAGAAAATTTCTGTCTGTCCTACCATCCAATAGCACTTACCTTGGTGCAAATTTCATCAAAATTGATTTTTTGAGTTGCATCACTTCACACAAAATTGCCCATATAGGTATACATATATGTATGTACTTGTACGACTTTTATTTAATGTCTCCTTATAAAATTGAATTTAATATTCAAATATTGTTTTACTACAATGATGTGATAATATGATTAGCTTTTGATCTTTTTATACCCACCATCAAAAAAGATGGAGGGTGTATTGATTTTGTCATTCCGTGTGTAACACATCGAAATATTGCTCATAGACCCCACAAAGTATATATATTCTGGGTCCTCGTAAGATGCTAAGACGATCGAGCAATGTCCGTCCCTCTGTCTGTTGTTGGCACGATAGCGACCAGAAAAAAGAGTTAGGGAGATGAAATTTTTCCAAAATATTCTTTATTGATCAGAAATATTTGGTATTAATAATGGGTAAAATCGGTTAACGATTTCACATAGCCCCATACAAATGTACCCACGGAATATTGTGTAAAAAGCTTCAAACATTCACAAATTCGTTGATTATGAAACAAATGCGACAAAATTTAGCATAAGTTTGTTTTTTTAATCCAGAACTTAAATTCCCCCCCATATAAGGTCCTAATCAGAAAATTACTTTAACGCTTATTAATGGCATAAAAATAAGAGTACAGTGATGAAATTCAACACACACATATTTTGTACCAAAATCTCTCTGCCAAAAAAAAATATCAGACCAAAATTGACTCCCCATATAAGGTCCCGATCAGAAAATTACTTTACACAAAGAAGTTTTGTACAAAATTTTACGAGGATCGGTCCATAATTGACCCTACCCCCTATATAAGGTACCCATCAGAAAATTACTTTAAAGCTCATTAATAACTTAAAACAAGTAAGAGGCCGACCATATAATACCCCCGACCTGTCACAAAAATAAAATGTGATTTAGTTCTCATAATAAAGTATTTAAGTTGAATTGTACCTTGCCTCAGATATACTTAAGCCATTTATTGTTGAATAAAATTGTGTACTTTTAAGTCAAATTTTGGAGGGGGCTTTGTACAGGTGCTATGGTCAAATGAGACCCTATTATTATAACATTCATGAGAGTCATCAAGGCTAGCATAGAACTTTGTTTTGCAGCTTTTTGTCTAGATACGAATATTTATTTATTTTATTTTATTTATTTAAAAATTTTAACTACAATTGAAAATTATAATTAAAATAAAGTATAAAGCACTAGCTGCTTTGGCTTTCGGCTTTAGATACGAATATAATAAACATAATTATGAACTTAAAAGCCCTATTCGGCGGGCTTAAAAGGACCGATGCTAACCATTTTCAATAGGCTTCGTTCGCGGTACCATAGAAGATCATGTGCCAAATTTCATCAAATTATCTTAAAAATTTCGACCTGTAGTTTGATTACAAGGTTTACATGAACGGACGGTCAGACGGACGGACATAGCAAAATCGACTCAGAAAATGTTTCTAAGCCGATTGGCATACTTTATGGTGGGTATAGGACCAATGTTATTGTGCTTTACAAACATCAGCACAAACCCAATATACCCTCCCCACTAAAGTGGAGTAGGGTATAAATACGAGTACAGAGATGAAATTCAATATAAACAAGTTTTGTATGAACCAAAATCTCTTAACCAAATTTTACGAGGATCGGGCCAAAATTGACCCTGCCCTCTAAATAGGATCCCCTTAAGAAAATTACTTTTACTATCACTACTGGCTTAAAAATACGAGTACAGTGATGAAATTCGATATTAACATGATCTGTATGTACCAAAATCGTTCTATTACGAGCATTGGGGTAAAACTGATCCTACCCCACATCTTTTTGAGTTTTTCCTTAAAAGTAAATACACATTCTATATAGTAACATATTTCTCATTTGCAACATGTTGCTTTACTTAAACAAATATTTTCACTTCTATTTTCATTAATTTTCGTAGCAGTGAATAAAAAATAAGAAACATATAAAAATAATTTGATTTTAGTTTGTCTGTTATGTAATTAAGTATGGCGTTTCAAGTATGAACATACAAAATCCATATAACCTTTGGAATAACAAAATAATAATTGCCACTAATAAGTACAAGGTCACATAATAAGTATCCATAGTTTTCTGTCCCACGTGCGTTCTATTTAATAAACAATTTTTCGATGATTTTAATCAATTAATATTGTTTTTAAATCGATTTTATTTGGATTTATTACACACAGAACATTTGTTAAAAAGTTACCTAAATTTGTTGTCAAATTAAAATCAAAACTAAGTGATAGAAACTCAAAATCAATGTTATGTTTATATTCATATAGATTACGTGTAATGTACATAAGTATGTATATAATTAAAGGACTAATTGTAATACGTAGATAAGCCCCAATGCTTCCAATAGATTTGGAAGTTTTTAAAATATTGAAATTTTATTTCTGTATATGGAAAATATGTAAGTTTTTGGAATTTTTTTTGGAGAGTTCTGTACATATTTTAGTAGTCATGTAATTTAACACAATTCTCCAATAAACTCTTTAATTGCATTGCATGTTTTTTGGGTAATGTATATAACTACATTTTTTGGACATGTGCTTGTAAATATTTTATAGAATACTTATGTGTAATTGAGTGATATATGAAATTGAAAAGCACTAGAATACAATAATTATTTTTTCACAGTTATTGTAAAAGTATAACAAAAATAATAATAACAAGTAAGAAAGTATAGTCGGGCGTGACCGACCATATGATATGATACCCTACACAAGTTGTGAATATTAAATGTGATTTATTTTTCATAATAATTCATTGTTCCGATACATTTAAGCAACTTATGGATGAAAAACTTATTTTCTGAAAGAGGCTAGTGGCAAATATGCACCAAGCCCGATAAAGTTTTGTGAGTATATTTATATTTATATAATATTTTTTGTGCTGAATTTCATCGCGATATTTGTGTTTATAAGTTAATCTTGCACATTCAAGTAATTTTCGGAAGGGGACTTTGTATAAGAGCCAGGGTCAAATGAGGCCCAATCTTTATGAAATTTGGCAAAGTCATCAAGGCTTGTATAAAACTTTGTTGTACCGCTTTTTATCGATATACAGGTATATTTAACGGCCTGTACCTTGCGCACAAGGTTTACACGGACAGCCAGCCAGACGGACGGACGGACATAGCTAAAGAAAATGATTCTAAGCCGATTGGTATACTTTAAGGTGGGTATAGGACGAATATTTGTGTATGTTACAAACATCAGCACAAACCCAATATACCCTCCCCACTAAAGTGATGTAGGGTATAATAATTTCTTTTATATAATAGAATACACCCTTTCCAATATTATAAAATTCTTTATAAAATTGGCTATTTCACCTGGTATCCATACGATTCTACCAGGAAATTTAGTTTAAACATTCATAAGTATTAATATCAATATATGATATTAGAATTAAAATAAACAAGGAAATGGTGTAAATAAATTCCGAAACGATCGCTTTATAATGACCTACAAAATCTGCCTTAAAACGTCTACACATTTTTCCTACCACCACCAATTTTCATATATAGTTACATACATTGTATATACATTTATAAATATGTTATAATATATTTTTTCTCTTTTTTTTGTAAAATTTGCTTTACTTTTGTTATTAAATATATTAATATTTACTTTAAACAAAACAATAAATATGTTTCATATATAAACATTTGATTCTACCACAAGTGGTTAACCAATATTAACCGCAACGCATTAAGTCACGCATCCATATGGTGAATTTGTGGTCACTGAATACTTTTTTCAATTCAATGAATTTATTTAAATATGGTTGTTTTGTTCACTTTTTGCATGTGGCTTAATGCAGTTATTGGCTTTAAAATATACATAATTTTTAATTATTATTTGATAAACGAAATTAGTAACAAAGTTTATTTAACAAGCGATTACAGAATTATGCTTTAAGGAGAAATTACGTATACGTAATAGGAAGTAATATTTG